ATACTCTATGTGTCTGGTATGATATACTTAATGGCACGGGCATGAGTCAGAGTGTGTTTGCTTGTCTGGATTTTTGCATGTGTATGTAGTACGTGATTGCATTCCTGCTCAAGGTCCAGTAGATCTGCGCGATGCCCCACAGCAAAAACGTGCTAATCCTTTTCCCAGAATGGCTGTTGCCAGGCAGAGAAATGACCCAACGGTCATAGTTTGTAAGTATATTAGTGTTGTGCGTCTGTGTGATGATTTTATTTATTTTAATACATGTACTGTATGTACTCACGTGTTTGATCACCATCCTTGAGAAGGACAAACTCTTTAGACTCTTCAGGTGGCAACAAGCCTCAAAATAGGACACATCATCTGCCCACTATGGACCAGATTGCTGAGGTCGATGCCTTGCTAAACAGCCTTGTGTTAAATATAAAGGTAGAATTTTAAATAGCAAGAAAAAGCTCTGGTGTTCCTCTATTTTTATATCTTTTTTCAAACTGTCATGAACATTAGTTCTCGATAGGTATGAGGCTTAACGTATCACCTTTTGATGAGTTGTTAAATATTTGGATGCAGCTTCTGTAATAAGAACATAAATACCACACAGCTAGCATCCCCAAAAAAATGTCCTTGCCTCAAAACGTTGTATTTCTACAGCATTGGAGAAATTAGAGCAGGTTGTGTTTGTCATAACTGAACTTAAAGCGTCTCTTGGAACAAATGTCTGTTTTTAACATGTAGCACACACGTATTTTTTTAATATTTCAAACTGCATTAACAGATTTATTTTGGCGACCTGGAAAATTCTTTTTTTTGCAAATACTTACTAGCTTTTATCTCTGCTTTTGTTCTCCTCCTCCTGACAAACATACCTGGCTCTGAAGCTGCAAATTGTTCCACTATGACCCAAAACACAGATCAAATAGTTTGGATTAAATTCTGACTGTAGGAAAAAGAAAATACTTTCTCTTGAACATTATACTGTATCTTCAATATGGACAACATATGCCCGTCATTACAAATTACATTTCTATGCAGCAATGTCAGACAATTACTGTTGTTATATTGATGATCAAAACAGCCTTTGACTTCTGACTGTACAGGGTAAAATGTTGACGGAGGATAAATATTTTTGGAAGTTACTGTAACTTTTTGTAACGGGAGCTCAATCAGTGCAGCTGCCTCAGCACTGCAGCATGTATACGTTACCTTCATAGCTTAAGCCATTAGCATTTCCTGTACACACACAGTGTAACATGATATACAAAGCTTTACTAGTGGCAGCTTATAGCTTTAGTTTTGCTTACTGGCTAAATGGCAAGATCAGTAGAACCGTAACTTACCAGGAAGGAGAACACAATATTGGTATTGGATAACCTTTACTTATGTAATGGAGATGAAATGCAGTTATTGCCTCAATGCCTGAGCTATTAATGCCCTTCTGTCTTTCTGCCTAGTGATCATCATAACTACTGAGATTTAAAAAAAAGTAAACATTAGTCAAAATGTACACATCTGTTAAATGATTACATCATTTCCCTTTTAATGTATGCTATAACCAGCTAATAACTTAGTCACTATATCACACCTTCCCCTTCCTTTACACTTAAGCCTTTCATTTTGATGACAAGGGTACATTTTTTCATCTCATGGTGTCAATTTTGGATTAATTGTCTTGGGACATCTGTGAAACCTGAGAATCAGAAGCTAGTCGACACATTTGTTTCCTCTTACATAAACAGTCTGAAACATCTCCACACTTTGGGAAATACACGTTTGATTATTATGTTTAAGTGTACATACAGTATATACGCTACAATACACTAAACTGATATCTCTCATTATGTCCATGTTTTTGCGTAGAGTTTGAAGATGAGTTTGTTTGTTTGTTTGTGTGTCTGTAAAGAAGACAGCTGCTTTGTGTCCATCAGAAGCAGCACCACATTCCCTGCAGGGTCCTTTGAAGTCAGGCTCTCTTACACACATATACAAACAGCCTTTTTTTGCTTCATTCGTCACCTCATATAGCCCCTCTGTGTGTTGAAGTAGAACTTGCTTTACAGTAGAAGAGTATATCCTTTTATGTCTTTTAATGTTAGGAAAGAGAAGGTTTCACAGGACAAGAAACTGACCTAAACTGGGTATACAAAGTGATTGGATAAAACAAAACACACTATGTTGGTTGTGTTTTTCTGCTTGAATGAGCTACTCAGTTTAGGATTCTTTTTTCTTTCATTGTTGTTGACAACATTTATACAAATCCAAGGGAAAAAACATAGTAATTCTTATTTATTGTCACGATAAATCATTTAAAAATCTTGAATAAAGGCTCTTGAACCACCACAAAAAGTCAATTGAAGTACTTTAATCTTGGTCTGTATTCAAAAATGTATGTGTTTGCTCAATTGAACCTTGAATCAGACAGCAGCTGTTTATTTTTGCCTAGATAAAATGCCTTCATGCCATAACTGCTGTCATAAGCAGGATAGCTTGGGAAGAGACACTGATATTGTATTGGTTGGCAAGGGCATAGTCGTGTAAGTCCATATTTGCTGTTTTTTAATGGCTGTTTGAAGCCACTTGGTAATTCTATTTATTTCTGTTGCGTCATACTTGTTACTGAAATATTCAAGCAATATAAAATAACATATAACCTTATTTTCCCTTAAATCCTTTGGGTATTTCTTGTTTTTATTAGTTACAGGAAAAAACGAAAAATACTGCCCCAATTAACTGATAACCTGCCCATCTAAATACAGTAAATAACAGAGGCATGAAAGCAATCTACGTCCCCGGCCAAGTCGGCTTCTTTGCTTTGTATTAAATGTGGATAAATACACTGTCAATGTGGTAGACTTTATGTCTGTTCACTGGACACGCACAGTCTCTAGATGCTGATAGAAAAAAATATATTTTACCAGAAATATGAGTCGGAGAATGTTCTGGATAAGGGAAGTAATAAAAGGCGCTTTTTGTGTAAACGTGTTAAATCACACTTTCTTTTATTTCATAATGTTTTTGAAAGTTTTGCCTTTTAGTAATAAGCTTGTTGCTGGAATGCAGGTCAATACAGTGTGTGTGTGTGTGTGTGTGTGTGTGTGTGTGTGTGTGTGTGTGTGTGTGTGTGTGTGTGTGTGTGTGTGTGTGTGTGTGTGTGTGTGTGTGTGTGTGTGTGTGTGTGTGTGTGTGTGTGTGTGTGTGTGTGTGTGTGTGTGTGTGTGTGTGTGTGTGTGTGTGTGTGTGTGTGTGTGTGTGTGTGTGTGTGTGTGTGTGTGTGTGTGTGTGTGTGTGTGTGTGTGTGTGTGTGTGTGTGTGTGTGTGTGTGTGTGTGTGTGTGTGTGTGTGTGTGTGTGTGTGTGTGTGTGTGTGTGTGTGTGTGTGTGTGTGTGTGTGTGTGTGTGTGTGTGTGTGTGTGTGTGTGTGTGTGTGTGTGTGTGTGTGTGTGTGTGTGTGTGTGTGTGTGTGTGGCGTGCGGTTGGTTGGTTGGTTGGTTGGTTGGTTTCCTACCTATCCCTCGGGATGGCCCAGATCTGACAACATCTAGGCCTACACCCCATGCAGGAAACCCATCCCACTGAGACAAGTAGCTTACCAAGTTTGTGTGTGTGTGCCACGCTGCTGCCAGCCCTTAATACAAACAGGACATATTTTAAGGACACAGATCCACATGTACTTAATTCTGAGTATTTACACCATAATCCCAGGAGGGTGATGACGTATATATTTTTCCTTCCTGGCAATATTATGAAGCAGTGCTTATTTACACTCAAGCCATTTGTTCTCATTAACCTTGTAATGTGCTTTGTCACCGTTATCGATTTAGTCCAATTCTGCAATATCCACCACAGCAGAAGACATTAGCGGCCACTTAACATCGCCACAAAATGTTGTCGTTATGGCTTTTCTGAGAAATTCAGGTTCACTTAAGGACAACTCAAATCATTTTGGATAAGTGTTTTTCATTTATGTCGGATGGATTTTGTTCCGAGAAGAGTGTGAACTGATGAAGAGGAGGCTTCTCGCTAAGGTCAAAATGTTAAAACTCCTCAGTGACGTCTCTTCTTTCTCTCTTTCCTCCCACGTTCCTTTTCTCCATCTCCCCATTATTCTCCTTCTCTTTATACCTACATTGACACTTTCTCTCCAGATCCCTTGCCCGACATTCTTCCTATCCTTAAGTGTCTCAGTGGTATTTCTATCTATTCATTTTCTCTTTTCACGCTTTGAGAGGAAATTGCTTTGAGAGGAAATGGCTTCCGATAATGAGCACAGCAGAGGAGCTGATGAGAATGACCTCTGATTCAGATGTTGTATAACAGTCTGAAAGGTGGAAAACAGCAGCGGATGAGGTGATTTCTACCCGAGCGCTCTTGAACCCCTCTTTCGTCTCAGTTATTTTGCTAAAGGTCACCTATTATACAAAATCCACTTTTTCATGTCTTTTATACATAAATATGTGTCCTCTCTGTGTAAAGAGATTCTGAAAGTTTCTTTTCGTCCTGATCCATTTATATAAAAACCTGTCTGAAAATGAGCTGATCAGATTTTGGCCATTTTATGATGTTATAACGATTTTTTGGCTTGTGTAACCATTAGCCAATCACCAACCAAGGTAACACCCCCAACCACACCTGAATCTCCTCCTAGAGCACCATTGTGTTCTTTTTAACCAAATATCTCTCAGAGGGGCGTGGGGAGTGGCTCCTTATTTTCATCTAAAGTAACAGACAGAGAATCAGCACTTTTGAAACAGGGCTGAAACAGAGGGGATTATGGGATGCTGCAATGATCTGTTTGGTTTTGAGCCAAACACTTCAGAGACATGTTTTGTATATATCTGAGACCTATAATATATTGATGAAAAAGAGTATAAAAGGGGACCTTTAAGGCTGGTAATGTAGGATTGGCTTTACCTCTTCATCCTGTTATAACTGCGGAAATGTATTTATATAAATATAACTTTCATTTAAAGTAGGTGACCAATGTGTCAATTACTTCCTCAACAGGTTAACAACTATGTGCAGGACAGAGAGGAGCTCAACCTGATTCATCCCGCCAAAAAGCTCCTGCTGTCTCTTCCTGGATGTGTGTGTCTCAGGGAGTCTCGCTGGCTATCCAACGCTGTCAGCAGCAGCAGCCCAGCCGGACCGGACCCTCACCCCCGCCTCCATCACTGCTTCTGTCAGCCTTTCTATCCACATAGGTTTGTAGCCATTTTCGTCTTATTTAGTATTTCTTAATGTAACATCAATTCTTTTAGCCCATCATGTTAAGAAGAAAACCTAAAGAGACTGGAACTGTGTTTGGTATTAACAATTATACATTTAGACAATTAATAGAGGTTGAAAGCAGCATTACACTTGACAAATGATACTGTTTCTTATTGCATAATGTCATCTGTGTTGGTCAAACGGACTGCACCTTTGGTTAGAGAGGTCACTTAAGAAATGCACTCTATAAACCAAGGATAATATATTGAAATCTTTGCACTTGGCACTATAGATCAAACCAAACAATCAATTTGACTGTATCATCTTTAAGGAATCATGATGATCTGTGTCTTCTGCAATTGTATTGACCAAAAACAATGATTAAAGTATAATAATGAAGATTAAGTTAGGATATGTGGGACAGACAGTACATTTAACGTTTTTGATCTAAGAGGGTGAGCTGATGGGAAGTAGTTCAGTATGAAATGCAAGAGTCTCACTATGCAGCTCTCTTAATGTACAAGTGGGACATTTCAACTGGATTTATAAAGCAACGGGAAGCCGGTGAAGACAAGTGATGTAAGACAATAAGAAGGCTGTCATGCTGCAGCATTCGGCCCTGAATGTCTTAGAATCACAGCCAAAATAAAAGACTCTTTGTTGTTTCCACTTTCTAGGTTTTATCGTGCCTGTGTGCAGAGGACGTCGGCGTGCTCCCTGCTGACCGGAGCCCTGCTGGAGGCCACAGCTGCTCTCGGGTCCCGCTCCTCCCTGCCCTGCCCTTTACCCCAGATCCCCAACTGCCACGCCGTGCTGAAAGGTGGGTGTCATACTTCAGTAGAAAATGTCTATATGTGTGTTTAAGTGTGCAAACCCAACTCATGTATTGATAAGCAAACAGTTTTACATCATACAACGTGTGTTCCAATAAAAGCCCAATTCGTACATACAGTATGAAAACCTGATGACAAGTGAAGCAGAGACTTTGGGGAGAACATCTTTGTGTCTGAGTGGAGAAGATTCTCACTGTTCCCCTGTGGTCTACGGCTCCGATCTTTTCTCTTCCTCTCCGTTCTTTTCCCACACGGCTCTTTACTACCCACAGCGGGTTTTGGGTCGGTCCATCACGTCTGTAGTTGATCCCAGTGGTTGCACTTTCCTTCTTCTTTTCTCTATATTTCCTTTGCTGTCCTTTCTCACTACTTATACCATCCTTTCCCACTTTCTCCTTTTCTCTCTCCATCTCTCTCTGCTCCATTGTACAGTTTAGACACACATGCACACACAACGCTAAAGTGGTGTAAGATGCACAGGAAGAAGAAAAAGCCTCCTGACATCACAGGGTCCACTTAACACTGATGCACATGCACACACCAGGTTATGTCTTAACATCTGAAAAGAGGTGATATGCACGTACTCCTCTGTAGAATCTCTCTGTCCTGGTGAGAAAGACATGAAAAGTAAATGATGAAATGTAATGAGACAATCTAAATAGACACATCCGCATCATGTCAATTGTATCTCACCCTTTCTGTGTCTCCTCTGCCTGACTCTGCACATGACTTCATTTCCCAGCCAATCAGGTTGTCGCTCTGTTGCTCAGCTGGTAACTCTCTGTCCACCTTCTCTACAATCATGTTACGTATGACATAAATGTAAGCCGATCCTGACATTAACTACAACTGGCTTTGGTCCAGGGGACAGGCTGTCTCTGGCGAGATCAAGGAGACGCACGCATACACAAACACATATTCACCGATCACACACACACACACACACACACACACACACACACACACACACACACACACACACACACACACACACACACACACACACACACACACACACACACACACACACACACACACACACACACACACACACACACACACACACACATGATTATTTGTGTGTGTCTCTCTGTGACTTGCTATATTATTATCAATCATGTTGACAAAAAAACGTAATGATTTATCAGACAAGCTAATGGGGTAAAATAGAAATATCTTAGACACACACACACACACTCATACAGCACATATCTTTACCATGACATCGTGTTCTGTTCTAATAGGTGTTGCGGGGAACAGAATAGAGGCAGACACGCACACACATAGCAGCTTAGAAGTCTTGGCAGGACTCGGACTTCATATGCACACACACTGCGCATGAGCATTACCTAAGACAAGACATATCAACTTTTTTTTAAAGTTATCTGTTTCCCATCTGACATTCACCTCTGCCTGCCATTTGAAATATTTGACCTTTAGTTGACCAGAAAGCTGTTTCTGAATCCATACATGAAAATGTTCCTGTAGCAAAGTTTTAGATTTGCTTGAAATCTTGAAAAAATTCAACAAGATATTTTAGTTTAAGACATTGTTTGTAAAGTGAAAATAATCATCAGATTTCATCAAAGACTTTTGATTATCCTGGAGTTTTTGGAAGGTATGACATACTGTAAGTTTCAAGTGAGATCGTGCTTGTGCAGTTCTTTCTTACCATTTATGGTGTAATTCCGCTATTCAGTCTTTTGACATCATAAACTGCTATTATTCTATGTTAGTGAAAAAGCTCTTTCTAAATCTAACTTATGTTATTTAGTTTCAAATGGATATGCACAACATAAGATCCATTCAAACCTGCCAGCAGAAAACAGTGTGAATGAACTACGATTATGTCAGGCGTTTTAAAGATTAACAGACAAAGAGCCTGCGTCTGTGTATTGATCGCACAACCTTGAAAATAAGATGTTCCATTTGCCCCGTTGAATAACAGAACTTTATTTTCTTTTTAGTTCTTACCAGTGTTTGCTAGCTTTTCAAACTGAATCGAAGGTTCAATTTGTCATATAAAACTGACATGGTTGAAATAGACATTAATAAACAGTGGTAGAAAATGAAATGTTTTCATCCAAGGTCTATACGTCACCTCTATAGAAAAGCCTTTGCATGTTCTTTCTATACATTCCCTCTCCTCTTTCTATTTGCCTTCGAAAAAAGGATGAATAAAACCTATTTATGGTGGAGGTCACAGGTTCAGACGTATTTTCCTGTGAAGGACTTAGTATTGATAAAAAAATGTGTTCGTGCCAGCAGTCGTTTTACATTCAGGATAGTCTTTACACTAATAGAAAATCAAACTGGTTGAAGTGGTTTCAATTGTCATATTCAATGTCCGTGTGCTTCATATTTTCGATAAAGTAGCTAAAATAATTGCATTAGTTAAGTATCCATTTCATAATAACAAGTTTTTTTACTAATCGCTAGGGCCCAATAAGTCAGACTATGTTATATGGAGGTTGTTTTTATGACAAAACACCTCAATTTGTTCATGTTTGTTTTCCTATTTTCATTGCTTTCCCACCCTGTATTAACAAGGTGTTTTGGATTCAGTATAGTGGTAGCAACACTTGGACTTGAAGTCAAATGTTACATTTTTTATAAAAAGGCTCTTGAAAATACTAAGACTACCAGGATAATCTCCTTGCCAACCGTGGTATATTCTTAGAGTTTAAAGTAGTGAGTGAGAGCTGAAGTGTTTAGACGTTCCTTACATGCATCATCCATTGTCATGATCTGAAAGCATTTTGCGGGTTCCTCTGATGTGTGTGAATGACAGCAAAAGCTTGCTTTGGTAGCAAAGCAGTCATTTGGTTGAAGTAGCAGGTCAAGAGGAATGTTTTGGAGAGATAAATAATGCTTAACAGGTTGAGTTGACACATGTCTGGGTCATTACCACAGGCTTTTGTTATGAGGGTAAACTAGCAACACCTATAAAGACAAATTCAGATTGTTAATGGGGTGAGACAAGGGTAGGGTCAAGGTTGTTTTTCGGTGTTAAATATGGTTGATCTTCAAGGCTTTGAGAGGAATAGTTTTCATTAAAGCATATGTTTGAAAATGCATTTGTTTGAAGTACTTTTAATGTAAGCATGGGTTTTGCAATACCCTAGATATCATTATGCTGATCATAATAATGAAGCGTGCCTTTAGGTCTCTGGAGTTTTTGTCATTTTTCAAATTGTGGATGTCTGATTTTGGGATGAAATGCCTTCATCTCCCGTTGACCCCTTTACTCTCGAGTATACACAGTTTGTAATTATTGAAGAAAAACTCTACCAAGGACCACTGGGATTTAGCCATTTTCATGTGAACTGTAAATGGGAGTGGTTTAAGTGCTTTTCTTGACCTCGTTTCCTTTGTAGCACAATTTAGTGTACTGCTAAAGGAAGTAGCAAGCTCAGCAATAGACTGATGTCTTTCTTTTTTCCTCCTTCTTTCTTTCTCTCTCTTCCTCTCGGTCCACATTGTACATTGTGTTGCCTGCTAGCACTGACAGCAGATGTGGTGGGGAATCAAACTGAAGGGAAGTCTCAAGGATTTCAAGAGCACATATTGTTTACATGGCCATAATTGCTAAAAATACTTATCTGAACGCATTAAGGCTGGACTACGACTTTTTTCTTCACATGTGAAAACTAGCTAAGATAATATTTTGAAAAAGATAACGGTTGGACAACCCTGATAGCTCTTGTTTTGACAAATAACAGCATGTTTTTGAATGTGGTTATATTGTTACACCTACAGTAGGTTGCTCTTTTATTGTAGCAGACTTTGATTTTTAGACATCTTTTCTAAACAAATGATACATAATAAGTATGTCAGTGAATCTTACGAAGGTAATGTGCCTTATCCAACATAAATATACAGTCTAGTAAAGAGTTTTTGTTAAGTGCCATCCTTAGTTTGCTTTACTTGTTGTTTTAAAACCCAAACACTCAAATTAGCTTAATGTAAAACAGAAAATGCAAAACATCTTCAGATTCAAAACACTGTGACCCAAGAATACATGTAGATTTTTTTTAAATTGGATTAAAGTATAATATAGTTGGGTGGTTAATTGGTGTTATGATATTTCTGTCAATAGAATAAGCCACTTGTTTCAGCTCTTGTGCAGTAACCACAAAAATACATTACATACTTATTTAGAAGTATCATATAAACACTTCAGTTATCAGCACCTTACTGCGACTCATAATAGGAATATTCCTTTCCAAATATACAAATAAATACAATTTCAATTCAGTGATCCTGTGTATAATAGGATACTATGAGAAAAAAAGATGGGGGGACATTTTTTTTAATCTATTGTTATTGCCTATGTCTTCTGCACTCTGTCCATATGAGTGTGTGTGTTATCACTGTGTGTGTGTGTGTGTGTGTGTGTGTGTGTGTGTGTACATGTAGCTGGATGGTCTGCCTGGTTTAACTGTAGCACATGGCTGTGAACTATGTATGGTGTCAGTGAAGAGGGGGTGGGAGAAAAGGGGAGAGAGAGAGAGAGAAGGATAGTGAATGCAGTCAAGAGAAAGAGCAAGGACTGACTGCTGATAAGAAAAGGGAAAGAAGCCAGGTGAGTGAAAAAGACACAAAGATACAGGGTGAATTCAAGAGAGAGTTAGACATGGAGTGAGGGAGAAAGGGAGAGAGGGAGAGCAGAGTGAGAGAGAGAGAGCAGCTGCAGGAGAGACGGCACTGAGGGTGCGAATGTGGACAAGTGTACTCTGGTGGCTCCGGCTCTGTCAGAGTGGACGCAGCAACCATGAAGCACTCTCACAGAGCGGACTACAAGCTGATCAGTGAGTACAGGAAATGTGAGTTACTGTATGGCTGCCTGTGTATTCCCAAAACCTGTAAGAAATGATAACATTTACTGAGTACATATGAAATAGGTCTGTCTGTATTTGTTTCTAAATGTAGTGTCTTTATGTTTGATAATTAAAACTACTGTTTGTTTTCTATTGTGGAGACCACT